ACTTTACATCTATTTTTCTCAATTTTAGTTTAACGAGCCAATTTCGAGCCGAACACGAACACAAATATTTAAATCGAGCCGAACACGAACACACTGTTCACGAGCCGATTTCGAACACGAGCTATTTCAAACGAGCCGAACACGAGCCAAGCCTGAGCTCACTCAAGCTCGGCTCGTTTACAGCCCTAGCACCAAAAAAAAAAAAAACACAGTCATTTTTTTAGTTAGATTTTTAACCAACTCAAACTTACTGCATCTCTTCAGCCCAACCTTGTTGTATCGATTGTACTGAGATAAATCAATATAACCAATACAATATGGTTGTATTTTAGAATTTTGATCTAAAAAACAAAAGTAAAAATAAATTCTTTAGTTACAAAAAAAAATAGCAATTAAAAAAAGAAAAAAATAATGATTGACTCACATTTGCAAGCATATCATCAGATTTACTTACTAAAAAGACAAATATTGGATCACACACAACCGTCGTATGTTGTATTTGATTCCTATGAGATTCCTATTATCTTCTTCGTCATTAAGCTAGAATACAAACAGACATGTGAAACCCTAAAATAAGATAATGTTGGCAAACAAAAATAAATAAAATAAAGAGGGAAAAAAAAAACTGAAACCTAACATTGATACTGCAAAGGAATCTCGAGGGGTTAGAAAATACTGAACGACAAACCGCAAAGCAAACACTAGAGAGCTTGATGCCGAGTTCAGAATATAAAACATTGAATGAACCACAAACATCAAAATTCTCAATCTTTATATTTGTTGTATTTGTCTTTTTCTGAACGGGTCGTGTCAGAGTCAGGTAATCTGTACGTGTATTATTTTCTCTCATTTTAGATATTAAAATATAATATTTAAAATATATAAAAATACATGATATATTTGATTTGACCATCACACGTAGCTCTATGTGTTATTCATACTTAATAATTTTTCCTCAATTTGACACCCTTGCTTTCATTTATCATGTACATTCAACATAGAATTATGCCTCCCATCTATGTTATTGATTTATGGTACGCTCCCAAGATTCTAATATTTGACTTATGAAATTTCAAAAGAGTAAAGTGTCCAAATAGTATAGGATTATTTATATAGGGTAATTTTAATCCCACATTTCATTTATAAATTTTAAAGCAGTCAGTGCTACTTTGCCCGGCACTTTACTCATTTGAAAATTTTGCTAAAGAGAATCAAGAGATGGATAGTTTACGTTTGGGCAGATAAAAAGATGTTTACGGGTCATATCTATCAATAGCCACAGCAAAAGAAGAAATATTACATCAGTACTACGCACGTAA